AGGAATCCTGGGCACTGGTTTTAAGTGGGTCTTAAGCTTCCTCAAGGATCCAAACTCCAACACTGGCCCCAAGGTCACAGCGAAACACTTGTGTGTGGTCACCATTGTGTGGTTTGGGGCACTTTCTGGAGGCTGAGGAAAGCCAAGCTGCCGTGTGGGTACCAATAATATTCCCAACAGACCCGATTCCTTAATCCCCTTCTCCAGTTATGCTGTTCCAAGGCTCCTTTGCTTTACCTGGGGAGGCAACTACACCTGAGCCAGGTCTAACTCTGCTGCAAGCTCAGTCCAAGGCAGCAATCACATCCCTCCTCTAAGGTTACAATCCTTGTATGGCTGGCAGGGAGAACCTATTAGGAATGTGGCCAATGTCATATTACATGTGCTATTTGTCCAAGAAGAATTTTCTTTGCTTTCTCCTGTTTCTCTAGGAAGTGGCCACAAAGGTCCAGTGTAAGGTTACAGGGCCCACACAAATTTTTATTTTTTTTTTTTAATCAGATTTTAGCAGCTATTCCTGGAATCACATGTTGTTTGGTCTTTTTTGAAGTGAAATGTCAGCAGCCCAGGTGTCAATTTTCGTATCAGGGGCTGCTTTTTACCCTGGAGGAGTTCAAATTTTACTAAGATGACAAAATCAGAAGGAAAGGTTTGGATGATAGGGGACCATTTTTTTTTTTTTTAATTGGTGATCGGGCAGATTTTTTGTTTTCTAAAGTTCAAAGTTAAATAATGATTGTGGTCCTTTGGGGTTAAAAAAAAAATAGATTCTGCTACAACCTTGTGCTGGAGGAAGAAGTCAGGACAGAGTGAGGATATCTCAGTGTCTGTGTGTCTGTGGGTGGTTCCGTGGAGGTTCCACAGAGCAGATGGACACCAGCTTTTAGTCCTCACCATTCAGGAAGGTCTAGAGAGCCACAAAAGTCATCCCTAATTGTTGAGCCCTTTCTTGTCAATATGAGAAGTATCAAGTGTGAGGCATCTCACGTCTAATTCTTTGACACTACACAGAAAATAAAATCTTTAAGATTTTATCTGCTTTGCCCTTCTCTATGAAGAAAAAATGTGAGGTTTTGGTCTTAGTGTGGCTCAGCCTTAAATTTCAGATCAAACAAAGATGGCACAAGGGAAATGTGGACCTGTTGGAATGAGTCCAGAGGAGGTCATGGAGATGCTGCCAGGGCTGGAGCCCCTCTGCTCTGGAGCCAGGCTGGGAGAGCTGGGGGGCTTCATCTGGAGAAGAGAAGGCTCCAGGGAGAGCTGAGAGCCCCTTGCAGGGCCTAAAGGGGCTCCAGGAGAGCTAGAGAGGGACTGGGGACAAGGGATGGAGGAACAGCACACAGGGAATGGCTTCTCAGTGCCAGAGGGCAGGGAGAGATGGGATATTGGGAAGGAATTCTTGTCTGGGAGGATGGGGAGGGACTGGACTGGATTTCCCAGAGAAGCTGTGACTGCCTAATCCCTGGAAGTGTCCAAGGCCAGGTTGGACGGAGCTTGGAGCAACCTGGGATAGTGGAAGGTGTCCCTTCCAGAAGAGTTGGAATTAAATGATCTTTAAGGTCCCTTCCAACCCAAACCATCCTGAGATTCCATGACTCTGGGATTTTATGGCACTAATCCCACAGCTGAAATAGCTGAGGCAGCTTGAGACATGGGTGGAACTTATCTCACCAAATTTTAGCCATTTACTTATTTACTTACTGAATCTCTTCTAAACTGAGCTTCAACTGGACTAATTAAACACCCGGTCTTTAGCTAAACTGAGCTCAACTAACCTGTGTCATTAGAAATGAGATAAATCAACTTCTGGAAGTGTTTGCATGTGTTGATAGAGAGGGATCATGAATGACTTAGGTCAGGGCAGATGATTCCTTCAGATGCCTGAGATGTGTCCAACTGCAGTGGGAGCTCTGCTTTTTGCATCATTCTTAATATTAATATTGGAAAAGCAGCCTAGCGAGGAGGTGAGTTAATTCACGTGAATTAAAACTCCGGTGAAACAACCCAGGATTATTTCTGAGGTGAAATTTTTTGCTTTTAGCCTGATTAATCTGCTTTTTATATCTTCCCCAACAAAACTGTTGATTTTTAAGAGATTTGATGTCAAATTAGGGGTCAATTAGCCAAGTGTGTGATATTGTATGTTTGATAGTGATTTGATAATGATTTGATAATGATTTGATAATGATTTGATAATGATTTGATAATGATTTGATAATGATTTGTCATTCTCTGGGAAATGATTTGTGACGTTTGCTTTGTCCCAAATGTATGACTTGAATTCACCCTTGAATTCACCCACTTCTGGCACAAAACTGGGATGTCCTAGTGAGGAGCAGTTGGTTTGGACTTTCCACACAGCAGAAGGAGCAGCAGAAACATCTCCAACACGGCTGAGAGTTGCCTCTCCTGAGGCTCCTTCTTCTTCCAACAGACTAGAGCAGGGCCTGAACATGGCAATGGAGAACCCTCAGGTTAAACTGGGATGAAGCTGCCCCACTTGGCACTTTGGGAAATGTGGGTGAGCGTGGAGAGAAACAATTCCCTTTGGTTTAGGGAGTAACCTCCTCGCTCTGGAGCTGGGATGGACTCCAACTCTTTGAGCTGCCTTGGTTTGTTGATTGCTGGTTTCAGGTTTTTTCTTCTCTTTAGCATTTTTTCCCCTCTTTTTCTTCTCCCCCTCTCTCCAAGTGAATCTCAGCAAATTCAACAACCCCCCCCCATCCCTGGCCCCCCTGATATGATTTAAATGCCACTGCTGCTGGTACCAGCGCTGAAAAAAGACCTGGCTCCCGTTCAAGTCCTTCTCCTTTCCAAATGTTTAGGGATTTGGAGCCCATACATACAATTACTGCGTGTTTCTGGGGAAGAGAAAATAGCCAGCAGCTGTTCGGTGTCTGATCAATTAGGAGCTGAGGAAGAGGAGTGAAGGAGAGGGGGTTATTGCTCCAAAATCTGCACACAATTAGGAAACAATGCTCAGAAGGGGGGCTGGGGAGGTGTGGGGAGGACAAACACCCTTCCAGTGGGTCCTTGGGTGGGCAGGTCTGCAACATCAAGAGATTATTGCCCCTAAACTGATGTGGATGTATGTGCTAAGGATTTGGGAAGGTGAAGGAGGAAGAGGAGCCAGTGCTAGTCTGAGAACATGAACACTTGGTGAGTGGGTGTCTTGGAGTAGATCTCCTTGTCTCCAGTCCTGCAGTGACTTCTGTGGCATCTTGGACACCCACTCCATGGGGAGACATAGAAATGTGAACATCTTGGACACCCACTCCACGGGGAGAGAGAAATGTGGACAACTTGGACACCCACTCCACAGGGAGATACAGAAATGTGAATATCTTGGAACCCACTCCATAGGGCGACACAGAAATGGGGGCATCTTGGACACCCCAATCCATGGGGAGACACAGAAATGGGGACAACTTGGACACCCACTCCATGTGGAGACACAGAAATGGGGACAACTTGGACACCCAATCCATGGGGAGACACAGAAATGTGAACATCTTGGACATCCACCCCACAGGGAGACACAGGAATGGGGACAACTTGGTCTGCAAGATGAATCCTGCCTGAGGGGTTTCACTCAGTTGCCCCCACAAAGGTGTTGAGTGTCGTGTGAGAAGCCCAAGGGAAAGACACACAGGACTGGAGAATATTCCTAAGTACCTGAAAATATTTCCTCCTTAAAAGACTTTGAAACGGACTTTCAGTCCCCTCTGGAGTTAAATCCACAGATCAGAAGGTTTTCCAGGCAGCAGTAGCCTCCCACCTTTGTGAAAAGGAATTTAGCCCCAAATCTCCATTGCATTTTGTATAAAGAAAGTATTTTTTCCTTGATACCTTGTCTCACATTTTACCTGAGGTGACTGGGGGTGTAATGGGGTGAGAGACTCTTCACTTATTAGCACTACCCAGCAGCAAATCATGGAATGGTTTGGGTTGGAAAGGACCTTAAAGATCATCCAGACCCACCCCTTGCCGTGGGCAGGGAAACCTTCCATCATGCCAGGTTGCTCCAACCTGGCCTTGGACACTTCCAGGGGAGTGGCTGCCACAGCTTCTCTGGGCAACCTGTGCCAAACTTTGCCCTTTTTTGTTATGTGGTGACTGAATGTGGGTTTGGATGACGTTTATATTCACCTGAGATCCAGGTGACAACTCTTTCCCACACAGCCTGAAGGTCAAAGGATGCTTGAACATTCTCTTATAACTTGAAGTTTGGGGGGAAGCTGAAGGGAGGTGTTTGTTAGGGACCAAATGAACCCATAAACCCATTGTTTACAGAGAATATGGGTCAACCTTGAAGATATCATGTCTAAAATTTTGATGTATTCCAAAGTTTTTCCTGTACACTCTTAACTCAGTCTCAGAGAAACAAAAGCTGTTTTCCCTGGATCACAGTCCTGGAATGGTTGGGTTTGGAGGACACCCCTGGAGATCATCTAGTCCAACTTTCCTGCTAAAGAAGGTTCACCTAGAAGAGGTGAACAGCATCTTGTCCTGGTGGGATTTGAATATCTCCAGAGAAGGAGACACCAAACCCTCTCTGAGCAGCCTGTTCTGGTGCTCTGTCACCCTCCAAGTAAAGAAGTTTTTCCTCATATTCACATGAAACATATTAAGAAGAGACTTTCCCTCAAAGGTGGTTCAGTAATCTGTGATGAAACAGGCAGAGGGGTTTACACCCACTTCCAGGGAATGAGAACAAATGGAAAGGTTTGGTTTACAAGGTACCTGAGGGCAAAAAAAAAAATAATTTTCAAAATCAGTCATTTGTGGGGAAAAGGGTGGATAAAACCTGACAGCTGTAGCCACACGGATTGAGACCTTTAGAGCTGGTGAGTTTAATGTCATCCAGCACCCAGAAATGTGATTCTACAGTCACATGGAGCTGCAGAAAGGCCGAGTCTGTCCCTCCTTCGCTCAGCAACAGGAGCATTCGGTGGGTTCTGCTCAGCACTCCCATCACCATGGAGACGTTTGCTGTTTGGGTGGTGACGTGTGGAACCTTACCTGGAGCCTCAGTTCCTTTGCAATTACATCAGGTTATTTATCTTCGTTGAGATTATTCATCTTCATTAAGATTATTCGTCTTCATCACACATAAAGTGCCCCTGAGCAGGAGCACCTGAAAACGTGACCCAGAAAGCTTTTCAGTGCTGAAGGAAAAGGGGTTCACGTCACCCTAAAATAGATTTATTATTTCACCTGATTACTTACTTTAAAATTTAGATGTCTAGTCAACACAGCTCTCTGCATCAGTGGAAAAAGCTAAAAAGTACTAATCTGAACCTAAAATATATGGGATGAGCCTTCCATCTTTCCACTTACTGGAGTCTTGCAGGTGATTGGCTTCGAACAGACATCTAAGATTGGCTTTGAATCAACATCTAAGACTCATCAATAGACTCTTGGATGGAGAGAACTGGGTGAAAACCCAGCTTAATGCCAACACAATTTCTTTAGAGGCTCTTTAAAGATGGAATTCACCCCCAAGATCCCAGAATAAATCAGCTGGAGCAGATGTGTCTGGGCTACGTGAGAGCTCCAACGCGTTTTCCCGCAGAGACATCGGGAGGTTCCGACCTCGGAGCCATAAAATGGTGGTTTTTTAGATTAGAGCTGCAGTTTAATTAGAGCTGATTTCCAGGAACGCTGATAGTGCTCCTGGCTCTACCAAGTCCCATTCAAAGGTCGTGTTCCCCAGCTGGCTCTTTGGTGCCATTGGGTTAAACTGACACCGTTCTGGCCAGTCAGGGATCCCCAAACCTCGAGGGTGCTCCAGCCCTGTAAGGTTATTTATGGGGCTGTGTCCTAGTCCAGTGGTGACAATGCAAAGGGGAAGTTGAAGATGAAAAATTGCCTTCTCAGATGGCCCAGATTAGATTTTTCCACGGTGCTGTTGCAGTTTCCACTCTGCCCAAGTGACTCGACGCCACCTTTGCCATCCCTCTGCCCTGTCTCCAACAACACAGCTCCCAGACTTTTCCCTGAAGTGACCTGGGCCTCCTTCCACTCCTCCTGGTAAGTGACATGGAATTCTCTTCTCTGACCCCCTGAACCTCCCACAGAATCATCCCAGTCCTCTTGGCCTCCAAACTTTTCCTTCTGCTCCTTCAGTGTCTTAAATCAATAAGAAGGACGGGGCTCAGAGAAAGATTGTCACCTTCCCTCCTCCACTCCTTCACCTGTGAACCTGTTTTTCCAGACTCCTGGATGTAACACCTGAAAGTCCCCATATGAGACTCTTTCCTGACCCTCCAGGATCAGCACAACCTGGAGATGCTCAACCAGGGACTTCTGCAACTTGTAAAATAGCTGCCACTTGAGTTCCCAGGGCTCAATTTTGGTCATTCTTGATGTCTTGGGACATTCTTCATGGCTTTTTCCCATACAATGGCTACTTTTTCCTGATTATTTTCCCCTGACTGTTTTCCCTTTATCACTTTCCTGTTCCTGTAGTCAGTATAAATTGAATTTTTTTTGTGTTTCGTGCCCAAATGTGACCGTCACAGATGATTTAGTTTAAAACAAGTTTTTTTTTTTTTTTTTAGTAAACAGAGACTGAAACTTTTTAAAACTCGACTATGACTATTTTTGGCCAGAGATTTGCTGGTAGAGTCAATCAAATTGACAAAAAAAAAAATTCATTTTGTGTTTCTCAGGAAAAAAAAAATTGGCTTTTTGGGAAAGGCGAGTGAGCAAAACTCCTTGAACTTCTCGCTGTGTTACTGAGCTTGCAAATAAAGTATTTTAGCAACTTTACCCAGAAACCTGCAATGATAATTCTTCTATTTCATTATTTTTTTTTTTTTTGGAAACCTGGTCCATCAAAGGATGGTCAAAATCCTGCCTGGATATTCCATGGAGAGACAAATGTGTCCAGAAGATTGATATTCTAAATTTCCAGTAGATATCTAATGTCACTAAAAAGAAGCATCCTTTGGAGATGTGGTTCTTTCCAGTGGTTTTCCAGGAAGTTTCCATGACCAGTTCAGAGTGAAGAAAGTCCTGTGACATTCAGGAAATGTTCTTAACATGACTTGGGTTTGGTGTTGACATCCTGTTGATATCCTGCTGATCCCTCTTTTCCTGCAGAAAAGGTTTGGAATATGTTTGGCTGCATCTGCTCTTTAAAACCGTGTGATTAATTAAAGTTCCCCCCTGTAACTTAATTTACTTTGCACACTTCCAGGATTTTTTTCCATTCCCTCTTCCCATCCCTGTGCCCTCCAGTGGACACTTTCACCAGGTTCCTCTTGCTTCTCCAATATTTCCATCTTTAAACAGAAAATTCCTGCACCAAGACAATGATTCCTAGGAAAGGACAAGAGAACTTTGTGTACCAAGGTATTGCACACAAAAACCTGTCCAAAAGTGTTGATTTTTGGTTTTAAAATGAAGTAATTCCATGTTCTTGTCTCGTTCTCAAGGTGTCCTCTCCATCCAAGTCCCATCCATGCAGCTCCCATAGTTTTTCACTGAGCTTTCCCCATCATTTCCTTCTAGGATTGCTTGAAAATGCTTTTCCAGCTTGTTTCCTCCCAAAAGGCTTTGTATTCTCAAAGAAATTAAAGATTTAGCAATAATGAATCCAGAATATTGTAGGAGGTGCCCAAGTGGGATTAATTTTTCGTTTTGTTACTTTACGTGAAACACATGAGACAAAACTTCATTGTCTTGGCTCACAGGAAATCCTTTGTGTTTTGAAGCAGAAACATTTATATCAGAGTATGCTGGAAAACAGCAAACATTGATTTGCCTCCCCTGTAAAAGAGAGTCAGCTTCAACCTTTTTGCTCCCTAAAATAATATTTTCTCCTTCCTCCTCACTTCCACTCTTGAAATGGCCTCGGTATGAACTTCCCAGTGCCAGTGGAATTCCTGAAGTGCTCATTCCTTTATCAAACAGCTGCTTAGAGTTGTTCAGACCTCAGTGACAGTTCACCATCGGAATCTTTACCAAGGAAAACAGGAAGGAAACAACTTCACCTCACCTGTGGGAATTAGGAATTGAGAATGTGCTTCTCTGAGACAAATCCTTTATTAGCTCCAAAACCAAGTGTTGAATTATTCCTTTTGATCACCCGAATATTGAAATATTCCTTTTGATCACCTGAGGCCCTGTGGGAGAAGGTAGAGGAATTGTCAAAGCACTGCTGGAAAAACAAAGTGCTGAGAGTGTTGATTGTGGTCCTTTGACCTTCTTTGGAAATGATCATGGAATCATAGAATCATACAATCATAGAATTGGCTGGGTTGGAAAGGACCTCTGAGATCATCAAGTCCAACCCTTGATCCAACCCCGCCGTGGTTCCCAGCCCATGGCACTGATGCCACATCCAGTCTCATCTTAAAAACCTCCAGGGATGGAGAATCCCCCACTTCCCTGGGCAGCCCATTCCAATGGCTGAGCACCCTCTCTGCAAAGAAATTCTTCCTAATATCCAACCTAACCCTCCCCTGGCACAGCTGAAGACCGAGCCCTCTTGTCTTGCTGATGGTTGCCTGGGAAAAGAGACCAACCCCCCCTGGCTCCCCCCTCCTGTCAGGGAGTTGCAGAGAGTGAGGAGGTCTCCCCTGAGCCTCCTCTTCTCCAGGCTGAGCCCCCCCAGCTCCCTCAGCCTCTCCTCCCAGCACTTGTGCTCCAGTCCCTTCCCCAGCCTTGTTGCTCTTCCCTGGACCTGCTCCAGCCCCTCCATGTCCTTCCTGAGCTGAGGGCCCAGAACTGGACACAGCACTCCAGGGGTGGCCTCCCCAGCGCTGAGTCCAGGGGCAGAATCACTTCCCTGGCCCTGTTGGCCACCCTGTTCCTGAGCCAGGCCAGGATCCATTGGCCCTCTTGTCCCCCTGGGCACCCTCTGGCTCCTGTTCAGCTCCCTGTCCATCCCCACTCCCAGCTCCCTTCCTGCCTGGCTGCTCTCCAGCCCCTCTGGCCCAGCCTGGAGCTGCCGGGGGTTGTTGTGGCCAAAGGGCAGGACCCGGCCCTTGGCCTGGTTGAACTTCATGATCCTTCATTCCTCTTCCCCACCAACTGGGTGGACTTCAGGGCAGTCCCACACTGAGTGACTTCCCAGCTGTGACACCTCAGCACTGATGTGTCCAGGCCGTTTTTCTCACGAGGGGAAAAATAAAGGAGCACAGACACAGGCACTGGAAAAAGCAGCAGCACCTCCCGAATTCCCACCAACCACTTCCCAGCGCGGTCGTGGCTGGATCCGTCGGGGAAAAGCTCCACCTTCCAGCCAACTCCTGGCTCAGCCTGGCCCCACCTTCATGTCCAAGACTTAATAAGATCAACCTGAAATTCCTCACATTGGGGTGGATTCCAGCCAGGATCACCAACCCCTTAAATTCCCTTTGGACAATTGTAACACACCCCACCATTAGAGATTTACACTCAGGGTGTGTTGGGACCTTGTGTGGGGTCACAGTTGACGTGAAAAAGCTCAGCTGTGTCCAAAGTCAGCGCTGGAAGGTGGAATAAAGGTTGTCCAGAGCTGAGTTTCTCCCTTCACATCTGGATTAGAACCTTAAACTGAGAGCAGGACTGAAATCTCCCCCAAAACACCCCACCAGTGTTAATTTTAGACAAGCTTTTAATTTTAGACAGTGCATGTAAGATATGCTTTCCTTTCCTAGAAAGTCTCAGTGTGAGCAGAACTCATGGGAATAGCAAAACTCACCCCTGGGAGTGATCACTGATTTATATCATAAATTCTAATGGACCAGGGCTGGTGGCACCACCTTTTAATTCAACTCCTACTGGGAAGTCACTGTTCAAATTCTCACTGAACCAGAATTCACAGATCTGCATTGTTTTAGAGATATTTTATTTCACCTTTATTGCACTTTTCCCCCCTTCTTATAATTAAAAGACCTAATTTTTCTCATTCTTTTTTTTCTCTCTCTGTAGTAAAATTCTGTCTTTTACGAGGTTTTTTTTCAATATTTGAAAGGATCTTGGTTGGAGCTCCTGAAATTGCTGCAATAATGACACTAAAAAGGCAAATTTTAGCAGACTTCTTCTACCTAAGGAAGCTCAATTTGGTTTTTCGTGTTCAGAATCAGGTGAAGGCTGAGCAGATGAACACCAGGACCTTTCTACTTTGTGGTTTGGGATGAACTTGGAACACCAATAACATAAATCCAGAGCACTTTTGCCGGTGGAATTGTAATCTGAAAAAAGAAAATGGATGCATGGAAATCATATTCCCCCCTGTCTTTCACATGCACCCTCTCAATACTCTTTTATTCAAGAGTTTTTAACTCTTGACCTCATGGCAAATTCATCCCTCATTTAATGCTTAAGATGTTTAGACCATTAGGTAAAAGCAGCATTGTTATTTAGGTTACGTGTCGAAAGTCAGAGTGCCTGGAAAGAATTTTGCTCTGTGGTTTCCAGGCTGACTCCAGAAAATTAGAATTGCAGGGAGGCTCTCCGTGGAGTTCAACTTAAAATGAAAAAAAAAAAAATCCCAACCCCAAATCCAGACTGAAGCAAAGCTTAACAGCAGGAGGAATAAGTGCAAAGGTTTCAAAATTTTCGCTTCACTTCATCAAAATCTGTCATTTCCTAAAGGAAACCAGGCAGGTTAATTGTGCAAAATATATATGTATAAATATATATATATATTTCACATATATGTGTGTATATATGTGTATGTGTGTGCATATATTAATTTTTCCCCTGTTCTTCTTCATATCAGACTTCACCATATGGCACTAAACCCATCATTTAATGTGGAATTATGGAGCTAATGGAATGTGGAGAATGAGGTCTTGCTTTCCTATTGGTCACCAGGCTCCCCTTTAGCTGCTGGGGGAAGACCAAACTTATAAACACAGGTCTGTGACCATAGAAACCCCCAAAAGCTCAAGTTTTGAAATTGCATCACATTAAAATCATTGGCTTGATTTTTATTTTATTTTTTTTTCTATACGTTACGCAGGAGGAAAAAAAAAAATGCCTGGCATGTGTGTTTGAATATATTGTCCAAACCTATATATTGTGGTTCAAAAACGTACCAATCACATAATTCATCCTGGGGAGAGATGCCAGTTTATTTCTCCATTCAGTCATGGTTGAAATGCAAGTAAAATTCGGATCAAAAAGCTCTTTTATCAGCGAAATTCGTAATGTATTCCCAGCTTTGGTGCTCAATCTCACTGTATTTTTCCCGTCCACTTTTCCAGCTCTCTGTACACACATGTGTGTATTTTGGAACACCCACTCCTTGCTCAAAAAAGGGTTGCACCCAAAGTCACATTGTCCCCCTGCCCACCTGAGATTTGAGAATATTTTTCCTTCTATCCAGATGTAATTTCCCTTTCTGGAACTTGTGGCTCCTCATCCTTCTCCTACACCTCTGAGTATCTGCATTTCCCACACCAATCCTGTTTCTGGAGTGGAATTCTGAAATTTGTTCCCTTTTCCTGTGCTTTCCCCAATGCCATTTCCTCCCAAACCTAATTCCTTACTCAAATAAATAAAGCTCAAGTTGGTAAATCCGAGCCGTTCTGTTTATCAATATTTTATAGAAATAACTTTCTTTTCCTTTCCTTCTCTCACACCTACCAGTGACTTTCTATATATCTTGACATTTTGCCTTCAAGTGGCCCATCTGGTTGGATACATCACAAGGAATTCATCAAGCAAAAATGTGAAGATGATCGACTTTTCCCATAAGAAACCTCAAATCTGACTTTGCATCGCCGCCCCTAGAACTAATTCTTTCTACAAGCCCTTATTATGTCCCCAGCTCTCATCCAGCTTCCTAACACTCATCCTTTTCCAAATTTGATTGATGTCCCAGCGTCCATGGTTTGCTCAAAGAGGGTCTTTCTGTTGAATACAAAAGAAATTCATCTATTGATGAATCTTCATCAAGATCTTCCTCTTTCTGCCTCTTTGTCTGATTTTCAGGCCTGTTAGTCACATAATTGTTTGATGAATCCTCATCAAGATCTTCCTCTTTCTGCCTCTTTGTCTGATTTTCGTGCCTATTAGCCACACAATTGTTTGATGAATCTTCATCAAGATCTTCCTCTTTCTGCCTCTTTGTCTGATTTTCAGGCCTGTTAGTCACATAATTGTCTTCTTTCTTTTATATTTGAACATTAGATGTCTCCTCTTAAAGCCTAAACCAACCTTACTTTCAATGCCTATAAAACCCGCTCTTAGTTCTGGTCAAACAAGGTCTTTGGAAACTTGGTCCAAATGCCACGAGAAACTCCACGATGTTTCCACTGATTTCTGCAGGCTCTGGGTTAAAGTTCCCGTTTAGAACTCTTCTGATAAGGTATTGATCAATAATTCTTTACCCTCACTATCATCACTGCCCTGATCAGTTATTTATTGGGATTCACGTCTGGTGCTACGTGACCGCGGCCGAGGTTCAGCTCCTGGAGCGACCTGGAAAAATGCACAATAAGACACAGACTTTGCCCCTTTGGAGAAGTTATGAACTGAGTCAAGAGCTCAGACAATGAAACAGAGCCTTTCCATGGCCAGGGACTTGTCTAACACCCTGTGGACCTTGAATAAGCCCTGGAACAGCAGAACACGGAGCTGTTGTTCCAATAGGAATGCTCATTCACCCACCTTTATTTTTGGCATGAGAGAAGAGAAACCCAAGGAGATAAAGTGCCAGTTGGAAAACTTGATGCCAGTAGAAATTCTATGCTCATTGCAAGTCTATTCTATGCTCATTTCAAGTCTATTTTCATTTCAAGCAGTAAAGTGCAGGTCCTTGGAGCTTTTGTAGCCAATGGAAATTATGCTGGAGCACAGTATGATTGGGGAATATCCATAAAGTTGCCTAATTTTCTACTTTGGAATGGGATGAATTGCACCCAACACCACCCATATTTTTGCCTAGAACTCTGCTGACTACAAAGGGAGCCCAGAATGACTCATTTCACTGGAGGTGTCCAAATTAAATGCCAGCACTGCCTGATGAACTCTACCTCCCCCTCTTTGGTGCGTGTTCGAAGCCTGAAGCTTTCCAGATGTGGTGGTTTGCCACCGAAAAAACCCAAAGTGGCCCAGAGAAGCAGCACCAGCTTCTCTCAGGGACAAAATTTCCTCCCTCTGATCGTGTTGCAAACGAGTTCTGCCTCAGAGGCTCGGGGCACAAAGAACAAAAAGGGATTTGAGCAGCCGGGCGGTGGGAGAAGGGCCGTGGAGGGAGGAGGAGGCTGGAATGGGAAAGGGCAGAAACAGTTTTAAATATTTGGAATCTGCAATTGTATTCCCCCCCCCTTCCTTCCCCTCCCAGAGCTTCATTTTTATTTTTTTTTTTTTTTAGCCCAGATTAACTATTCCCCCTACAATGCTTTTTCATAAAGGGATCAAGCCCATTGTTTATAGAATTTGCTAATAACAGCCTCAGTCGTGCTGTCACAGCAGAGTGATTCAATTACAAGACCGGACAATAAAAGCTCAATAAAGAACCCCAAATCCTTATTAAATTCTTTTTTTTTTTTTTAATTAATATTAAAAGAAATACCCGAGCGGGCTGGGATTGCCAGATGGGGGAATTTATGCTGCCCAGAAGAATGATATGATCTCTCTGAGTAGCACGGTGCAAATTAAAAGAGGTTTAGCGTTAAGTGTTCATGGCACAAAAGCAATTTTAAGTACCTGCAATCAGCTTAGGTTGGCTAAGCCTAAATATGTACAAATCGTGTAATGGGCAATATCCCTGGCAGTACCACGCAGAGCTGTGACAGATGTGCCCTCCAGGCTTTGCTCTGGGCCCTACAACAGCTCGCCAGGAGCGTGGGGGGTGACTGGGAGGGGGGATGTGTGTGTGGTTTGTGGGCCACCTAGTGTCCTGCTGGCGACTACACTAAATAATTTGCTTTTTTTCTTTTCTCTTAGAACCGATTTTAAGGCATAAAAAAGAGCAATTCCATCACCGAGTCAAAGAAACCCACGGATTGTTTCACCGTTCTCTTCGCTGCTTCAGTTGGAGACTCAGTGGTGGAAGGGTGTTTGATCTCCCTTTAGTCATTCTCCCACTGGAAAATCCATTGTTTCCCTCCCTACTCATCTCAATTGCTCGTTATCTTTGCTGCAAGGAACTTGGGATTTTTGGAGGGTTGGGGTTTTGTTGTTGTTGTTGTTGTTGTTGTTGCTTTCCCAGCCTGGCATAACTTGGCTGCAGAATCACGGAATGGTTTGGGTTGGAAAGGAACTTAAAATCCATCCAGTCCCACCCCCTGCCATGGGCAGGGACATCTTCCACTAGACCAGGTTGCTGCAACCTGGTCTTGGAGACTTCCAGGCCACAGCTTCTCTAGGCAACCTGTGCCAGGGCCTCCCCACCCTGCCAGCCAGGAATTCCTTCCCAATGTCCCATCTAACCCTGCCCTCTGGCAGTGGGAAGCCATTCCCTGTGTCCTATCCCCCCAGACCCTTGTCTAAAGTCCCTCACCAGCCCAATTTCTTCATGATGAAGGACAAGCAAGTTACAGGTGAAGATGTTTTGCATTTGAGGTGCATAAGATGACTCTTGTTTTAGCTGATTTTCTGGCACCCAGTAAGGAATGACCCTAATACGACCATTCCATGATTCTAAGATTCTGTGACCTCTGTTCTCCACTTGTTTTTGTTGATTATCTCTGAGCTTAATGGAATGTCTGATTATTCCCAGAAATTTGCTTAAAACTGTCCCACAACTGAGGCAATTTTTGAAAGCATTTTACAGTCACACCTATATCTACATATGTATATGGTGTCATTAATATGGGTTTATGATATAGGTAAGAGAAGGCTCTGGGAAGACCCTATTATGACCTTTCAATAGATAAGAAATTATAAGAATATAGATTTCAATATATAAGAATGTATTTACGTATTTCAATATGTAAGAAATTACGTGTCAGTCCCAAGAAAGATGTGGAGAGACTTTTTATGAAGGCCTGTAGTGACAGGACAAGGGTCAGAAGTTATAAATTGGGAGAGGGTGGGTTTAAATTGGGTGTGAAGGAGAATTATTTTAGGATGTTTGAGGCACTGGGAGAGTTTTCCCAGAGAAGTTGTGGATGCCCCATCATTGGAAGTGTTCGGGATGTGTCATTGAGCAACCTGATCTAGCAAAAGACATCCCCGTCCATGGCAAAGGAGTTGGACTTGATGACCTTTAAAAGTCCCAAATCATTCTGTGATTCTTCAATTTTGGCAGTCCTAAAACAAACCCCACAACACTGGGAACTGTGGTTGGATCCTCCTTGGATGAGAAAGCAGTGCCAGGCAGAGGCCAGCAAAGCTGGAGAGCCCTCCCAAATAACATCAGTAAGGAGGAGAACACGACACCAGTGCTGGTCTTTGGCGGGGAGATCATCCCCCAAAATTGTCTCTGTTGTCACAGACCCCTCTGTGGGATTCATCATTAGCTAATTGTCCAAAATAGATGGCAGGACGTGCCCTCCCCAGTGACCTTTCCCTGACAAAAGCAGGAAACCTGGCTTAAAGCAGGGGCTTATGTTTGCACTGGCCGTGGTTAAGGGGGATTAATTCCCCCCTCAGCACTCAATCCCGTTAATCAGCGGGGCTCTGGCTGTCGGCTGCAGAGACACGCGGAGCATTCACCCCGTTTTTGGGATGGTGCTTTGGGATTGCTGGGATAAATCGTCCTCCAGAGTGGAATGAGAAGCTCTTCGGATGCTTCAGTGACTTTGCAGTGACCAGGAAGGGGGAACACGGGGTTTGAAGTCTTTGCAACAGAGGCCTGGAGGTTTCTCCGGAGCTGCTTTTGGGTCCTGCCTTTACCACACGCTGTGAAATGATGGATCCTCCTCGTTTTTAGGGATAAAGTGGAGTGTTCATTGCTGGGGGTAACAACAGCTATAGGTGCATTTAATTTGGGGGTTCCCCTGCCCTAAATTTATCATTTAGAACTTTAATGTTGAGTCCTATCCTAGATTGAGTGTTTAAGACACAGAGTGGAGTAAGTCCCCTCGAAGTACCTATTTCTGCTCATGGTTCATGGAATCATAAATTCATGGGATATCCTGAGTTGGAAGGGACTCACCAGGATCATCAAGTCCAACTCCCGGCCCTGCACAGGACAAGAATCCAAGAATCCAAGACCCCAAGAATCCAACCATGTTCCTGAGAGCCTTGTCCAAGTATTTCCTGAAATCTGGCAGGTTTGGGGACGCCACCACTTCCCTGTTCCACCCTCTCGTGAAGAACCTTTTAGTAATACTCCTTTCTCTCCAGCTCAGATTAAACTTTGACTTTTCAAGTGACCACCTGTAAACAAGTGAAAAGTCTTTGCCTTTGGAGATGAAGAATGATCTGAATCTGTTATTTCCTTTCCCAATTTAAGAAACGCTCGGAAAGAATGGGAACAGTGAGGCAAAGGTGGATTTTTACCAATATTAAATAAATATAAATGCTAAGAGACCGATCAAATTCAACCAACGTTGAATTTTCTCATATAAACTTCCCCGAAGTGGGATGAATTTCCAGTGTAGGAGACACATATTTTTTAATTAAGAGAAAAGCATTTATTAGATGAGAGGGCAAAATCAGCCCAATCTGATGCCTTTGAAGCTCCCAGCCCCCTGCCCCATTCCCTGAACTCCCCCTCCCCTGTCATGGGGCTTTATATTTCACAGCATCCATAACATGGATTTATCAAAGGTCACTATGGCAACATCCAGGCAATCCGAGACAAATCCGTGGACGAGCATGGAAACAGGACAAAACAAACTGAAATCGCCCCGTTCCCACCCAGGTTCCCCCCCTTGTGCCCCTCCAGCTCCAAATTTAGCCCAGTTCTATTATTAATACTCAATATTACCTCAGCTGAGGGTGAAAAGCGGGAGAGGAATATCAGTGTTGTCCGGGATGACTGGGGCTGCGGGTAAAGCGGGATAATTGTATTGGCATGTGTGAATTCTGGGAATCAGAGCCTCCCAATATTTGTTTTGGCCGGGTTTCCATGGCAATAAGGGCACTTGCTATTAATTCGCTGGTTTATTGCTAAGTCTTTATTCAGAGTATTTGGGGAGGGGGTTATTCACATTCAATTTGGAATTCCAGGCCTTATATATATATATATATATATATATACATATACATATATATACGGCTCTGGGGAGACCCTATTATGGCCTTTCAACAGATAAGAAATTATAAAAATATATATTTCAATATATAAGAATATATATATTTCAACATGTAAGACATTTGTGTATATATGTATATATAAGAAATATACATATGAAAATATAAATATAAAATCATAAAAATAAATAAATAAATAAATAAATAAATAAATAAATAAATAAATAAATAAATAAATAAATATTATATACATATAATATATATGGACCTGAACTTACTAACAGTAAATAAATATATATCCAATGAGATATAAGTATATCTCATCAAGTCCAACTTGATGAGATATAAGTATATCTCACTGGAGATATATATATATATATATATATATCCAGAATATAATATGTATCCCACATAAATAAATAAATAAATAAATAAATAAATAAATAAATAAATAAATAAAAAATATATAAAATATATATGGACCTGAACTTACTAACAGTAAATAAATATATATCCAATGAGATGTAAATATATCTCATTGGATATATATAGATATATCCAGAATACAAATATATATCCCAGATAAATAAACAAATAAATACAATAAATATAATATATATATATATAATATATATGGACCTGAACTTACTAACAATAAATAAATATATATGGAATGAGATATAAGTATATCTCATTGGATACATATATATATATATCTCCAGAATATAAATACATATCCCAGATAAATAAATAAATAAGTAAATAAACAAAATACATATCCCAGAATCCCAAATCCCTACTTTGACAATGAGAAGCATTTTCAGAAGTGATTGAGAACTTTAAAATGCATCAAAATTCCTTTTCCATTTTCAGAAGTGATTGAGAACTTTAAGATGCATCAAACCTCCTTTACCAACACCGTTTGTGGTTGTTCTTTTGGAGATGTCCAACCACAGTAGATTTTATGAAATATATATTTTTCCTTTCTTTTGCTCCTTTTGGAAACCAGGACAATTTTAGGATTTGATTGTCAAGAAAGAAGAAAAAAAAAAATACCTGGGAAGTGAAAGAATTCAGAACATTTATCATTTCTCTGCTGTTGTGCATATTAATATATTTTATATATTGCCCACACAGCCCAACACAGGTACACAATCTAATCTACGTGATAAAAACCCAACGGGCCGCCGGTACAAAGCGAATTTCTCAGTAATTAAGATAAGAAAAAAACAAAAGTAGCTGGTGAACCCTTACCTTTCTCCCTTTTATCACACCTTATCTTGCAGCTCCGTGCCACAGTAGCCTCCTAGATTGAAGGGGGAGCCTCCCACGCCTGGAGAGCAGCAGCAATTCCTTAGGGAATTTTAGTTTATTGGGCAGGAGTTGCTTCCAGGACGGAATTTCTCCCCGTGGTTCAAAGGCTACTCTAAAGACAGAACTATTATTTTCCTCCTGGGCTTTTTTTTTTTTTTTCCTTTTTATTTTTTTTTTTTTGGGGGTATTCCTGAGTGGTTTTCCAAAGTTAATCATCTTCAGAGTATCCCTCTCAGACCGGAACGTTATCCTGATTTTGCTGATGGGAAGCTGATAAATAGATTAAGATTAACGTGAAAAGTATCCGGTTATTTCGGCCTCCTGAGCTCTGAGTGCCTGCTTTGGCAAAGCTTTTTTTAAGCTTTTTTTTTTTTTACCTTCTTAATCTCATCCCACTTTATCTGTCCGGGAATCGTTCCTTTCTCTGAGCTCCTCATCTTCTCAGAGTCACTGGGCAGAAAAAAAAGCACAGTCAGAGGTGCTTCCTCTGATATATCTCGGATTAATATCTTGGGATAAGACGGATTTCCCTCCAGAGAGACTCAGGCAGATAAATCCCACACGATTTTTTTTTTATTTTTGGGGAGTTTTCCTGAATTTTGGTTACACTTTGAGGGCTCAA